TATTGTCCTTATTTATCATCAGGAATGGAAGTATCAGAAATTCGAATTAACAAAAAATGGTCCATTGAGTCTCTCAGGGTAATAAAAGTAGATAAGATATTTGAATACATCGATATTTTTTATTTATTTCAAATCACGTGCGATTCATGTCATGGAAAAAACATACACCTGAACCATAATCGATGCGATGCGAATACTTTTTGGCAATGAGGTCCATTTCTGGTTTAAAAGGTAGATAAGTTCGGATGATATGAAATAGCTGATTTTTTTCCAAATTAAGAACACGGCTTCCATCCAAAATGTTTAATATCCTAAGCAAACCATGATTATTTGAATTTATTTGTGATTTATTTCATTCTACCAGAAAACAATGGCAAAATTTATAAATAAAAATGTTGGTATCCATAGGTCAAAGGTAAGGTTTTTTGTAAATAATAGCATATAAAATTAAACCATTTGTACACTTATAACAATCATGCCCTAAACAGGTTAAATTAGAAAATGAGAAGCGGGGGTTATGAAGAAAGCTATTAAAAAATTACAATTGTTTGCTCTTGAGTAATTAAATGTCCCCCAGAAACGAAAACTCATTTTTAGCAGGAAATTATATTTGATGCCTGAAATTGATCTCTGAATTGAACTGAGCGAACATTTTATTTCGCCTTTTGGTCGGACAAATCGTCACCAACGTCTAAAGTCGTCTTCGTTTCTGGCCTTGGAACAAAATATCAGGCAGGCCATTCATCAGTTACGAATTTAAATGCTGGAACAAGTCATCAAAAATAGGACTCAATGAATGGATCCAAATATTTATCAAAGAATGTTCTTCCAAATAAGAAGAAACATTCATAATTCACTTTGAATTTTTATTGTTTTTTTTTTTAAGAAACCTTTTTGACCGAAGCCATATTTAGTAACCAAAATATTTCAGGGTTCATACATTTGCTGTTTAAATTCTATTATAAATGTTAAAATGCCATTTAATCTTGAAAATTTTTGAATTTACTGAGTTTTTTAAGAAGGGGACCTCCAAATGAAATAAAAAGAAGTATTAAAACATGTTTGATCGAAACCATATTTGGGATACAAAATATTAAATAGAATTAGAATAAAGGCGTGTCGGGATACAGTGATCTCCGATACAATTAATAATGGAACGATTGTGAATAAACACAAATTTCTGATCTATTCGCAAATTATTTCAATGAACTTAAACAACATGAATACTGTGAAAAGATGAGACATGTCTTTTAAAACGTTAAATATTCTGGGAATCATAGATAATAAATTTACAGTTTTAAGTTCCATAAAATAATGCACAGTTCACCCATTTTATGTTAAAATTTTATTATAAATCTATAAATAAATGTTAAAAAGCAATTTAATTTTGAAACAAAATATCCACATTTAATTCTTCATCATAAAATTAGATGTATAAATCAGCCTAGGATAGTATATATGACTGAAAAAAAATCTTTTAGATTTTCGCTCTGATTCCATTATATAGTATAGAAGATATCACAAGATCGCCTTCATAGGGGTTTGGTTAGCATCAATTAATACGGGATGCAATACAATAACCTGCTGAAGATTCAGAAAAAGCATTTAATGACACTCTTCTACGTCACATTTCTACCCATGGAATGAATTGAATTTATCACAAAACTTTTCTTCCAATATTTATGAAAGGTAAATATCAGATTTGCTATATCGTGACGTAGAAATTAAAAACGTAAATTTAACTAGGCTTTATATAAACTACATGAAGTTAATTAACAAAAAAATGTAGTTTTTTTTTCAGTGTAACATCAGGGTACCATCATTATCTATGTTTGTAAAAATGCATTTTCTAAAAATATGAAAAAATTAATAATCAAATTTCTAATATGCTTTGTCTCGAATTTTTGTCAAAAATGGTGTAACGACTTCAAAATGGGGTTTTATAATACAATTGATATCATTTTTTGTTCTAGGCTAATAATTTGGTGGCCATAAATAAATAATTATAATAAATAAACTGTGTATGAACTGAGATATAATCATATTATGGTAAATTATAGATATTGGCTTATTCACGCACTAATATATCGAAAAGGTGGCAGATAAATATAAAGACTCGAAAAAAATCACAGGGCAATTTGCATAGAACTCCTGACATGTCTAAATGATAGGAAAGATGACCGGTGCACTCTGTGGTATTAAAAGACATAGTAATTAAATTATGTATTTATATATTATTTTAAATTAATGTAAATATAGTTCTTCTGTAATGTAATTTCCTATAGTAATTTTTTGGCTCAATATTTAAATTTGGGTTGTCATTTTATAGATATTCTTTGGGTTATCATACATTGCTTTGTTAGGTACATATTTTATATGTATATTTCTCATGATATAGAATTTATAATAAATTATTATTTATATAAAATAATTAAAACTATAATAAATATATTATTTGGAATCTAATGGCAATAAATCCCACATATATATGTGATTTTTAATTTTCTATTTATTTTTAAATATTAAAAAAAGGTTTAAACAAAACCACAAAATATGTGTCGTAAAATATTTATAAACTCAGCTAGATAAATATAATGGTATCACAACATATTTAGGTTTTACAATATAAACCTAAAAATAATAATTAATTAACGAATGCTAAATATGTTCTAAATTAATTTTAAAGACATCATACACATTTTCCTTAACATCAAATTAAATACAAACGTATCATAAAAATAAATAATAAAAATCATAAAAATAATAAAATATAAATAATGATTTGACAAGTTTGTAATATAACTACGAAATCATTTAATAAAATAATCTACTTCAAATAATTATCTAGTGTATTAAAATATAATTATGACAATAAAATTGTAAAAAAAAAATTCTCTAATAATTGGACTTCAAACTTCACTTCATAAGATGAAATCCTACAGTTAATTAAAAATCATTAAGATGAGTTTATAAAACTCAACTCTAGGCTGGCTTAAAACACATGTATGTGTGAACAAAAAATCAACTAATAATTCCAGAGAAGAGAGCCTAATTAAAATTACTTTTCATTGTTAATTGCCATGCCAATGAAGACATGTTTAGGAGTCAATTTAAAGTGTTTTTCTTTTTTAGAACTAAAAGTATTTGAGTATTTATAAATGATCAAATATATAGACAAGGAGTCAAGGAGAAAAGTCTTCTGCTAAAAACGACAAGTTTATATTAGTGCGAAAGAGAGCTTTTATATAGTAGACAGGGAGAGATCAACTCAATTATAAAAAAAATCCAATTAGTTTTATATGTTTTTTCACGATTCACCATGAAGAGTAAGAGAGAAAACGTTTATGAAGTTACACAAATACTTCGAAAAAGTTTGGTATATAATTTTAAGGTGTGTTTGTGTAGGTAAGTGGGTTTGGTTGTGTCCACACAAAAAAAGGTGAGAACTCCGAATAATGAAAAAAAAATCGATTCCGAAAAGTTAAATTTTGTTTGATTGAGTAAAGAGAGTCAATGGAAAGTAAATGAGATTAATTTGTGGAAAAAACTATTTTTTTTAAATTAATTTTAATTTTTTAATAACAATTTTTTGTTTATAAAATGTATTACAAGTATTTAATTTTAGTTTTCGTTTATTTAATTAATAAAGTGATCTTGTTTGCTTTACCCTGCATTAGTGCATTCTTATTGGCTGTTTGCCATCCATTGTGAGAGGGAGAGAGAACAAAACTTATTATATACTTCATATAAAAAGTATATAACTAATTGACAAAGGGAGAGAGTACGGCTATTATCAATACTCTTTATTGAGTTCTCTTTCTGCTGATACTACAGTTATCTCTTTCTTTCGTATGGTCAACAATAGAGTAGGCGTTAATACTCTCTGTGGACATGAACTCTTGCCTCTCTGATAGGTAATATACATGTTGTTGGTATACGCCCGCTATCTTATGTTGTGTGCCCGTGTGTGTGTGTGTGCGAGCATAGTATTTGTTTTTATTTAAGTTAAAGGGGACGACTATGCCAACGACGACGACTACGATCATCATCATCTCTGTATAACGAACACACACACTCAGTCACACACAAACGAACAAATATGCATACAATAGTAGCACCAGCAACAACAACACACACGAGATGAGTTGTGCGACTACGAACACAACTACGCCGCCAACAACGACGACGACTACGATGATGGTGGTGCTGATGACGACGATGATGATGATGAACATAACAAAACATGAAACGACAGATATTGAAGTGTAGCAAAAGAACTTGAACACAATCAGTTTACTGTTAGCACTGAACCGGGTAACACAACAGCAAAATATTGCACATGAACTGAAAAGCAAAGAAAAAACTAACTTTGTGATTTGCGTCGTGTGACTCTCGTGTGACTAATAATAACAAATTATACTTAATAATTATAAAAAATAGAATAGAATATTTTCCAATAACAATTTTTATATTGCCAATAAATGTTCTAAGTTGTAAAATACAAACGAAAACTAGAACAAATGAAATTGAAATTAGAACAAGTGATAAAATACCCAAGTGGAATTGTGTAATACCTTGAGTTCATAGAAGAAAAAAAAATAACAACCGACGGTTAAAAACAAAACAACAAACAAACAAAATATGTTATGCAAAAAATAATTACAAGACAAGTGAATATTTTCTGGCTACCTAGTTAGCCTAACCAAATGTCTGAATGAATGCTGTGTATTTCCGCCTATGAAAATATAAATTCTGTTCTGTGGTGTAAATTGAACGTGAAATTACTTTAAATTTAAACAAGAAATTAAACTGTTGTTTGTCGAAAAAATTAACAACTGTTGAACAAAGTTTGCTGTGTACATTGATTATTATTGATTGTTTAAATAAAAAAAGAAAAATAAATAAACAAAAAAAAAAAAAAATACAGAGAGTGTAGCCAAAGGCTGCTAATATCATAATTAAGAAGAACAAGAAGGAAAACGACCTCACATTACAAAATGGATTTATCAGCGTTATTAAGATCTATCTTACATTTGATGGTCATGTATCTGACCATTGTTGAAGTGAGCGGCGAGAAAACCCATAAACCTGGACGGGGGAGAGGTTCTATGTGGTGGTAAGTAAAGAGTTTATTATTGTAAATATTAAATAATTTTAAAATCAATATCAAATAGAGAAATGATAGTTGGTGGCACTCTTTGCCAAAAATCAATGTCATAAAGGGCTTTCCTTGTGCAGTTCTTGTGTCTTAAATCTTTTGTTTGCCTTTGCGCATTCCTGAGAGTAATGGGAGGCAAATAAATTGTAGCGTTTGTTGCTTAAGTCTTTGGGAGATTATTTTAATTCAAGACAATTTAGGAAAGTTAATATTTAGATTGCTCTTTTAAAAAATATTGCAAAATAAAAAATATTAAAAAAAAAATAAAATAACAATTAAAATATTAAAAAGATTATAATAAAAAAATTTTAAATTAAAAATGTTAAAAAATATAATTGTATATAAAAAAAATTTTTTTAATAAAAAATAACAAAATTAATTTTTTAAATATATATATAATAAAAATAAAATATTTTAAAAGAAAAATGTGAAATCCATTTTTTTTAATTTTGATTTTTTAATATTTTTAATATAAAAAATTATAATTTAAAATTCAAATATTAAAACATATCCAAATATTTTGTAATAATTTCCTCTAAAAAGCTAACATATTATTTAATAACTTCATAGCTACCATCACCTCTCTGGTTTGGTGGGAAAAAATTGATTTATATTTCCTTTAAAAATTAGCACTTCCGCCTAAATGAACCAAAAAATAAAAAAATAAACAAAATACTAGAGTAACACGCTTGAAGAAATTAACCAAAAAGAAGCAACCTAAATGAATAACAAAAGAGGAAAAAAAGTTAAACAAAAAAATAAAAAAAAAAAACCAAACAAACATTTGTAAGCGCACGCCATGAAACATGATCATTAAACAAAAACCGAACTGCTGAATGAAGATCATGAAGATGACAAAAAAACAAAACTAAACTAAAGCCAAAAAGAAACGTGTGACTTTTACAGCTTTTTTGTGGGCATTTTTGTTGTTGTTGTGGTAGGAAGCTGTTGTGTGTTTTTTTCTTTTCTTCTCTTTATGAAGATGTTATGAAATGATGTGTTTTTAGTTTAATTAAAAATTCTATTAACGTTTTAGTTTTAATATAAAAAACGCACACATACACACGGGCAAAGACAAACAAAGCTTTCTTTTTATGCTTGAAACATGCTCTTCAACTCAGAGAAGAAGAAAAAAAAACTAGTTTAATTTTGTGTGTTTTTTTTTCTTACTTCCAGTTCATGGAAAATGTGTACTAATTTCTTTGTGGTTTTTATGATCTTTCAAAAAAACCTTTTGACCCTTTACAAGACGACAGCCTAAAGATAAAGAAAAAATAGGTTTCATTGTTTCCTCAAAACAACAACCTTCACTTAAAATATTCCTTTCAGAATGGTTACAACTAGTATTTATTTGAGGAGAGAAAAATAAATAAATAAAAACTAAAATAAATCAATAAAAATCCCTGGAGTATTAATTTTCTTCCATTGCCTCATTGTTTTATAGAGCATACGGCGAACATTGTTCGTAAATGTTTCGCAAGCGTGTCAATTCATGCAACATATCATTGTGACAATATAAAACGTAAAATAATCAAGAATTGTAAAACTTACTTATTGAAAACCTGCCGCAGATTGGAAGCAGCTGGCCTGGGGCCCTCTCTGAATAGCTAAACATGAATGAACAATGAACAGAACAGTTTTGGCGGGCATAAATTACAATTATTTGTTTTTTCTTCAATAATTCATTGCAAAAATAATTAATTACAAAATATATAGTGGCATGCAGCAATGTGTGTGGTCAAATAAAACGTCAGGAAAAAACTATTTTTTAAATAAAAAAATACTAAATACTATCAAATAACTATTGAAATAGATTAAAATTTTTTCATTAGAAATATATTCTAATTATTACTTCCCAACATTTCTGCATGACTTAAAAAATTACTATTTTCTTATATTTTCCCCCACTCAAGCATAAATTCTAACATTTTCAATTTCCCTGTTGTTTCTTTCAGGGGCATTGCCAAGGTGGGCGAACCCAACAATATTTCACCCATTAGTTCGGGTATTATGTATGTCGATCCAGCCATACACACCACATTGAGACGTAAACAGCGTCGTCTGGTGCGTGACAATCCCGGTGTGCTGGGTGCCTTAGTTAAGGGAGCAAATTTGGCTATTAGCGAATGCCAGCATCAATTTAGAAATCGTCGTTGGAATTGTTCAACGCGTAATTTTCTAAGAGGCAAAAATCTTTTTGGAAAAATTGTGGATAGAGGTAAGTGCACATAAATATAAACATCTATATTTCCCACACTTGGAAATTGGAGACAGTTTGTTGTTGTTGGTTATTTCATTATGGAGAAGTGGCGCTTGAAAACAATTTTTTGTTGTTGTTCATATTTCGTCTCATTTTCATTTTTGTGGGTTGTTCCCCCGTTTTTTTTTTTCGTTGAGAGGATCTCCATGTCCAAGTGTTTTTGTTTTGTATCTCTTCTTCTTTTTTTGTAAGAGATAACTTATGTTTGTGGTTGTTGTTGTGTTTCCTTTTGGGTCAAGTACCCTTGGCTTGTTTTGTAATATGATCCAAAAAAGAAGTAACCAAATTAATACATGTATATATACATGTTTATTATACAATGGGGTATCTGTTTTGTATGCCCATCTGGATGTCCGTCCATTTGTTTGTCTGTTTATCTGTCTGTATCTGGTGTGTCCATTTCCAAAAAAAGGATAATATGTTAAGTTGTTTTTCCTTTTGTGTTTAATGGTCTCAACCATAAACCAAATAAGGACAAGTGTTTAAACATCTTTTTTAGGAGGAGGGGGGGAGAGGAAAATTAAAACGCTGGGTGTGGTGGTTTCAGTGTTTTGTCAATGGAAGGACTTTTAAAAAAGGATTCTTAAAAACTATTTTATTTAAATTAATCTTATTTAAAGTAAAAATATTGAATATATTTTCAATGATTTCTAAAACTGCAAATTTATTTCTCCTTTTTTAAATAAAAAAAATCTAAATAATTTTTTTAAAACTATTATTTCCATTACATTTCAATTTATTTCTACTTTATTTGCAAATCCAAATCTTCGAAAAAATTCCATGAATTCATTTCTCTATTCCCTAATCTCCCTAGTAAGCCAATTGGTTATGCTAACTGCAGAAACCCATTTTCAATGGCTTTCAACAAATTTACCACAAAACTCAACGCCTACTAGGCAGGACATAACATGATTTGTAACCTTTTGGAAACACAAAAAACAAAAATCTCAAAACAATTAATGTCTTTGGCATTAGGAATCAATTTTTGTTTTTCGGATTCCTGGCTAAGTGATAATCATGTCATATGAAACATTTTTTTGCAAAAAAAAAAAGAAGACGGACCCAATGAAGCATAACAAATTGTTAAACCGAAAAAGGATCACACCCCACAAAAGAATGAAAATGTCCTGCTGATCTCACACAAAGCCAATGAGAGAGTCTCTCCAGAATTACCAAGCAAAAAATAATTTTCGAACAGAAATTTAATGATGATTTCAAGGGTTCATTGCAATGCCATTTAATGTCTCTTTTTCTGGTTTGGTTTGGTTGGGTGTTAATTGTTTTTTAAAAGGTGTTAATTATCGTAACAAAAATCTCCTTTACACACAAAACACAACAAAATTTTATTCAACAGCCAATAAAAAAATCAAAATTTAGAACTCATAAATTTCTAGAGGTTTTTTAATAACGTTACGAAAAAATAAAAATTATAAAAAATCAATCAATTCATGAGACGACCTGATAACACCAGAACACCACTACTTGACAAGTTATAAAATTTGAGTTTATGGACTTTTTATGTTATTGTCTCTTGTTTTTAATTTGCCATGGGTTTCTGTTATCGCCCCCGGAGATGTGATGATCGTTTGATTTCATTCATTACTTTCAAAATTTTTTCTAAAGGCTTCTTCATTCAGCAAAATACTGTAACTGAAAAAGTGAAATAAAAACCCCAAATTGTTTGTTGATAATAAAAAAAAAAACAAGAAGAAGCAGCAGAAAAATTATTGTAACTTACACAGGTAGTTGTAATAATTATATTGTTGTTGTTTTTGTTTATTGAAAACACGCACACAGCAGGCGTGAGCCTAGCTCGCGTACCAAAAACAAAAATCTTTCATTTCAAGTCATAAATATGGATTTTATGATCGTTGAAGTGTGTGTGTATCCTTTTCATTCTCTTTTAGAATAGAAATAGTCTGGTTGACAAATTCTAGTTTTCCTGAAAAACTCTGGCTTTTGTTTGTGAGATTTTTCCGAAAACAAAGACACCCCAAGGGTCCTCTTAACATAAGGTAGCCCTTTTCTCCCAAATGAAATAATCATATATTTTTGCATATATTTACAAAAAAATGATTGATATGTTCTTGTTGTTGTTGTTTTTGTTATTGTCTTGCGCGTTTAAGAGGTTTCAGTTTCCTTTTGTTTTTGTTTTGAAAACAAAAAAATTGTGTTTTTCGTTTTCTCGAAATTCACAACAAAAATGTCTTATTTAATTAACACAACACTTGACAAGCTGTCATTATGTGAATATAGCAACAACAATAACAAAAACAACCTGACCACCTCAAATAAGCCTAAATATGCAACAATAACAACAAACAGGCAGACAACATCATCATATGTACACACAACATTTCAAGTTTATGTTCGATCCCTGGAAAATTTGCAAAAAACACAAAGACTTCTCATTCATAAAATTTCAGTTGTGAGGAGGAGATCGATATGTGGCAGAATAATAAAAAAAAAACAGACTATGAAAGACAGATGTACATTAAGAAATTTATATCATTAGGAATATCGAAGAAGAGCAGTAAGGGCCAATGATAAGGTTAATTTTAATAATAAAAAACATCTGGTTGTTTTCTGATATAAGGAATTGGGGTTAGGCAATTTTTTATTAACAGAGAAATGTCATGGCCAAAATTACAATAAATTTCCCATATGGGAAAATTCAAAATGTTCCTAATTTCATTAAAATTATACAAAAATTTCTCGTTTGGGAAAATTAGAAATTTTTAGGTTTTTAAATTTTTTTCTGTGTTGCTATTTTTCCTTTTACTTCAATTAATTTAAGATTAATGATCTTTTGAAAATGGTGTCAATTGATGAAATGTCACTGGGAGAGAGTAGAGTGGTGTTTTTTTCTTTTCTTTCTTTTGGATCATTTAACACTTGCGTATAAACAGGAAATGTTACAATTTGTAGGAAATTATTATGATAGGCAAGATTTTTCATTTTCCAGTTAAATGTTTACACTGAGGTTAAGTTCTAGAGAGAGAAACCTTTTTCAAGAAATCCCTAGCATTTCACAGACAAATATTAGATGATCAAACCACAAAATTTCGCCCGAAATTAAACCACACACACATATATATACAAGAAAAAAATGTAAATATTTAAAATAGCAATGAGAACACCCAACGAGAATTAGGAACCAAAAAACAAAAGTAAATGAACTTGATGTTGTTAATTTGTATTTACTTAATGTCTCAATTGAATGGAAATTAGGTCTATGACACCTTTTTTTATTTGGTGGTTAGTCAGTTTTCATATTTCCACTCTCTCTCTGTAAGAAATACCTGCACGCCTAAAGTACATCAACAAATTATGAGTTGTTTTACATTTGGACAACAATTTCTTAATGATTTTGTTATCAGTTAACAACATTAAATCAACAACAACACCACCACAAAAAAGAAGGGCGTTGGTATTGCCAAAACAGTTAAAAAAACTACAACCTGACAAATATGGGTGCGTTGAAATTGTTTAACAAAATATATTTTTTTAACAAAAAATAAAGAAAATCACAAAAATGATATACTCTCTTGATTTTGTGTTTTAGATAAGGAATATCACAAGAATGTTAAGTGAATCATTCATAAAAAAAAAACAAACAACAAAAAATATTCAAAAGTTTGTTGTTGTTGTTTTGAAAATATCGCCTTCTTCCGTTGGCAGATTTTGGAAATTTGATCCAGAAAAAAATAAAAATTATTTCAATTGCCAGCAAAACGGATTTCCGTTTTCATTTTATTGTAAATCACAAAAATAAGAGGCGTGGTCAGTTTGATTTCGATCCCTTTTTTTTCATAATCCTTGTTTGTATTGTGCAATTTGAAATTGATCTTTTTTTTGGAGATTTTGTTCCGTCTTTGTTTCGAGCACCCTTGAGTGGTGATGCTAACCCAAAAGAAAGGTTTTTTGTTGTGTTCTCCTTCCAAAAAAGACAATTGCTTTTGAATTGAGAGCATTTATTTTTTGGGTTACCATTGACCCTTTTGTTTAAAAAAGGACTCAAGAGTTTTTAATTTTTGCTGGATTTGTGTTAGGCTGGCTGATTAACATTCTCAGGGATTTAAATTTAAATAAATCTCCCACACTCGGACACACACGCACACTACACAGGCTCACATGGTATTTATTGCACATGGTGGGATTTATGTTTCCCTATTTTAATACACAAAAATACAAAAAAAAGAAGAAGAGAAGGATAAGGATTTAAATAAATTCCTTTTTACAACACACATCCCCCTCTTGGCTTCTGTTCTCTTCTTTTTATAAAAAAATGTTAAGAATATTTTTTTTTGTAATATTTCTTTTGCCTAACATTTGTCATAAGAAGAGTAGGACATGGTTGTTATGTCAACTAAATCATTTGCTTCTGTTTGTCTTCTACAACTTCTTGAGAAATATCTTTTGGACCACTTGAAAAACTCCTAGAGTGCAATATGATATCCACACAACAATAGTAACATGGGCAACAGCCACTAAAGAAGTCAATTGCCATTGTTTAATCCTTTTGTTAAAACATAGATGGATCTGGTAGCCAAGCCAATCAAGATCATCATCTTTTTGTAGTTTTTGTCATAAAAAATGAATAACTACAACATTTGGTGGCAGTGATTACTTGAAGTGTCATAATTGATCAACAATGTAAAATATGAAAAAAATATGAGAGAGGGACCCCTTCCCCCAGACTATAACAAATAGTTCATCCACTGGCAAGTGCTATTAGTCACAATAAAAAGATGATAAAGATTATTTGAACATCATAAATCTGGCTTAATGGGTGGCAAAGACAAATTCCTCTGCCTCTTTTTAAAAAAAATTCTCCCTCTCTTTTGCAAAATTATTTATTAATTTATTTTTTCCTTATTATTTATTTTCAGGATGCCGTGAAACTGGTTTCATTTATGCCATAACCAGTGCCGCTGTCACCCATTCCATTGCCCGTGCCTGCAGCGAGGGTTCCATTGAATCTTGCACCTGTGACTATAGCCATCAGACTCGTTCACCCCAGGCGAATGCCCAGGCCGGCAGTGTGGCTGGTGTACGCGACTGGGAATGGGGTGGCTGCTCGGATAATATTGGTTTCGGTTTCAAATTCTCACGTGAATTTGTTGATACCGGTGAACGTGGCCGTAACTTGCGGGAGAAAATGAATTTGCACAACAATGAGGCTGGCAGAGCGGTAAGTAGCAATTCCAACAATAACAACAACAATAACAACATTTTTACAAGTAGTTAATAATTTATGTGGCTGTAAGCATTTTTATGACTTTTGGCAATCAAGCTTCGTCGTCGTCATTATGAGATCATAAAATATTGTGAATCTAATGTCAAGACAAATGGCTTTTTTTCTGTGGTTCTCTAAGGCCTGCCATGAAAGATCGTTTCGATTTGTTAGCCAGTCAGTTGCCCAGCCAGCATTGTGTGTGGTTTTATGTTTAATGTTTGTGGCCTGATGAGCTTCCTTAGTTGCAATTTTGTGTTCGATTTATGGCCATTTTTGATCATTTAACTTAAATAGAAAAATTGCCAAGAATATTGCAACTCCCCGTGGTGTTTGTGGGATATTCAAAAGGTGGGATTTTTTTCATTTGCAAATCGAGTCTTAACAAAAATGCAGAAGGGACTAAGAGTTAGAAATTTTTGAATAATAAAAAAAAATAAAATTGGAAAGCATTAAAAAACCAAAAAATTACCGATAAAATGGAAAAAATTTTAAATTACAAAATTTTTTAATAAATTTGTTTTGTTTTCAATTCCAAATTAAAATTACAGGATTATTGGAAAATAAGAGGGAAAAACATTATAAATGTATCCAAAAAAATTACAGTTGAAATGCAAAAAATACTAAATTACAAAATTTTTTAAAATATTTTTTGTTTTTTTTTTTTCTTTAAAAAAACATTTTAAATAATTCCAAATTTGTATTATTTAAGTCATTTTGCAAACTACCATTACAATCGTTATAGTTTTTCCTTTAAGAACATTAGTTGTACATTACCTTGTAGCCTTTCCACGCTATCATATATTAAAGCTATTGACAGCTAAATTCAAACAACATAGAACCCTCCCTCTCTGCCTTGCCCCATTCAAAAATGTTAGTAGTCACAATTAATGCTAGTAAAAGAAAATTGTCTATAAATTTGCTACTAATCCTCCACAATGCTTGCTCTCGAACAACACAAATTTCAATTTTTATTACAACAACAAAAAAGTGAGCAACATGCAAAGGAGGTCCAGCTATTCCCACAAAAAATATTCGAAGCTTATGTCTTTATTCAGCAGCAATTAATACAAAGATCGTTTTGCTTTACATTAAAAAAATACAGCAACGAAGAATTCCTTATTGGGGATTTAAGATAGAGACGACCAGAAATTGAGTCGTCGTCATTATCATGATGACGATGATGATGATCAACGTTGTTGGTGGTTTTGTTGGCTGGCGTATTTGTTACGCTTATATCATAATATCATGTGGTGGTACGCACTGCGACCACCTCGTAAGCTTTCCTTTCACACACACACACACACACACACACACCAGGAAAATCCAATAAAGCCAAGACGTCAACAGCAAAAAAAAAACTGTTGCCGTTGTATGTTGCACCATTGTGCGTTGTAATAATATCAACAGCAACAACATCAATATCTAGATTTATATAGGAATTGTGACCTCATGCTGGGTCCTTTTTCAACACGATTGGCAATCGATCGTTTTGCTGTGAGGCTGTGGAATATTATTGATGGCGGGTGTTTAAGCCAGGCTTTTGGTTTTTTTCGTTTTGTGTCTTTTTTTTGTATTACAAAACATTTATTGCTTTTTAATAATGTTGCAAGCCAAGATGATCATGTTTACATACAACGAACAAAAACACAAATCCCCCAGAGACCATGGCAGGAATCATATATCCTCACAATTTAAAAACTCTTGGTGGCCCTGAACCAGAAAAGCAAAGTAGAAAAAAAAAATCATTGCGTTTTAACCCTTTGAGCCCCGAATTTTTTTCCGCAATATTAGAACAAATTTCTGTTAACAGATGTAAGGCAACTATCCTAAATAGTATATACTCAAAATTTGACATCGATATATTCTCGCATTCGAGAGATACAGTACATTCTTTAGGAAAAAATAAAGTCCAATATCAAGAAAACAAAATACAAAATCGACAGAAAAATCATTTTAAACATAATCAAAAATAAATGGCAGAAATACAATTTGAATACGAAGCGTGGACTTATACACAATTTAGTACTGTACACAAATTTACCCTCTTCTCTATATTGAAAAAAACTTTACCAAAATTTGGAAATTTTTCTTTTGATATGTATTGTCCATAATCAGGTCTTGATATATGAAATCCAAAAAATATATAAAGCTGCAGCCCTAAAACATTTTGTTGCCTGTACACACAGGGTTAAACACACACGCCATAAAATGTCAAAAATGCCCAGCACATAAATTATAAATTGCAATACACACAAACACACAAACCCATACATTTAAATAAAGTTACTAATTTTTTGTTATTTTCGTTTCCTCTCTTCTTATAGCATGTCCAAGCTGAAATGCGTCAAGAGTGCAAATGTCATGGCATGTCTGGCTCATGTACCGTTAAAACTTGCTGGATGCGTTTGGCCAATTTCCGTGTCATCGGTGATAATCTTAAGGATCGTTTTGATGGTGCCTCTCGGGTAATGATGAGCAATAGTGTACGGGCCAGTGGTAGTGCCAATGCTGTGGGAGGTGCTTCAAATATTAGCCCAAATGCTGTGGGTGTTTCACCCAATGCCTTGTCACCAAATGCCGCCAGTCCAAATGCCTATGATGAGGAACGTATGCTGAATGATGAACATGTTGTGAAGCATCATCCAAATATGCCCTCACCAAATAGTTTGCCCAATCAAAGTGGTGTATCGCGTAACAGTGTGCGGGGACGTGGTCAACGTCAGGGTCGTAAAAACAATAGGTAGGTGTTGAGAAATATTTTTTTTGTGTATTTTATTAAAAAAAAACACTTTTTAATTGAAAATTTTTGTTATATCTTTTTTTTTTAATTGAAAATTTAATTTTTCTGAATTGAAACATTTTCTTTATATAAGATTTTTTTTTTAAATTAAAAAAATCACTAAATTTTTTCATTATTTATTTTATTAAAAGAAAAAATTTCAAAATTATTTTTTTTTTAATTTTCAAAATTTTAATTCTTATTTTAAATTGAAAAAATTTTGTAATTGTGCAACATTTTACTAATTTCATTTTCCCCTCTCTTTCTTCTATTTTTAGATATTCGTTTGTTTTGAAACCCCACAATCCCGATCACAAGCCACCAGGTACCAAGGATATTGTCTACTTGGAACCATCACCATCGTTCTGTGAAAAGAACTTGCGTTTGGGCATTCAGGGTACACATGGACGCCAATGCAACGACACATCGATTGGTGTTGATGGCTGCGATCTGATGTGCTGCGGCCGTGGATATCGTACCCAAGAGGTGGTCGTTGTTGAACGTTGTGCCTGTACATTCCACTGGTGCTGTGAAGTCAAGTGTAAATTGTGTCGAACGAAAAAAACGATACACACGTGTCTGTAAAAGGGCTGATCGATCGACCGACCGTCCGGAAAGGTTTTACATCGTGGCGTGCACAGAGAGAAGAGACCTTGTCTGCAGAAGCAAGGCTTGTTATTTGTTGTAGTGTTTATTATTATTATTTTTTATAAAATATACTCTTCCCTCCCCCCACACATCCCATCAATAATTCCCCGCAATCTTGCCCGCCCGTTCCCGCAACCAAACCAATACTTTGTAGTATTCAAAATACAGGATATCTACGAACAACTTTTATGGAAAAACGCACACACACGAGAGTTGTTCGTTGACTTGTCCGCGTATTTGACAACAAATTAATTTGCCATACTTTGTAAATGTCATTGTAAATTAATTATAAACCACACACACATACTCTCATGTGCGTGAGTGTGTGTGGTCTACACACACCTTTATTTAAGAGAAACACACAAAAAACGCTTCATTAACTAAGCGCTGGTTCAAAATTATTTATTTTTTGCATTTAATTTTAAGTTTCATTGTTTAATTAATTACTTATTTTTTGTTTCTTTGTTTGCTTGAAAAAAAACTCGAAAATAATTACCGTCCCGCAAATGAATGAAAAAACTTTGCTCAAATTTTCTAAACATCGAATTATAAATTAAAAAAAAATCAAAACAAAAAAGTTATAGTTGTAAAAAAAGCATCGCTGATCTTTTAAGAACATTCTTAGCAGTATTAAAACGAAATATACATAAAAACATTCACACATACATATACTATATAGAAATATATACATACATACATATATATAGAAAGCAGGAGGGAGGGTGCACAAGCCTCCCCGCCGGCACACAAAGGCACATGAGAAACCTTAAAGCCCAGTTTATTAGTTGAATAAGTTAAATTGTAGGCTAGGTGAGAGAGAGAAATTCTAGTTTTCTCTCTCTCCTAATACAGTAGAACATGGTTATAACAACAAACAAATGAATTGTTATAACCCTATTCTAACGTATACACAAAAATATATTTTTAAACAATTATAAATATGATAATAATTTCAAAGACTGAATTTTGTTGAAGAAAAAGAAGCGAAATTGCATTGATTTACAAACAAACAAATAATTATATTTAAGCATATTTTCTCCCTATCCCCTCTCTCTCTACTTTTTTGGTGTAAATATTTCCCCCCTCTCTATAAATATAATTTAAAAACAAAAATCATCAAATTGATTTGACTTTATTTGTCTCATCAAGCCCAAAAGCATTTTGTGTATTTGTATTATTTGCATTCTGATAAATGTTTAATTTATAAGCTTATTATTATTATTATTAATATTATTATTTATATCATAACTACTTTACTTAATTATTATTAATAATTTATTGATTAAATTACTCTCGACTTATATTTTGTAGTAATTAGTTATTTGGTTGTATAGTATTTTTTTGTACCATCACATCGTGTTTAAGATTATTATTTTTTATAAGTTTTGAATAGAAGAAGAAGACGAAGAAAAAAATGAAAAGAATTGAAAAAGAAAAAAACAAAACAAAAAAATAATATAAAAAAATAAAAATTTTATATAAAATTAAAAAAAAACATATTGTTATTTAATATATTTACATGGGCAGTTGCAAAGGGGGGAAGTTGTATATGATTTTTATGTAATTACAGGGAAGCCTACATCATTAGATATTTGACATATAATATGTGTCATTACCAACAGATGTCGCTAGCGTCATTATAATTTTCATTAAACCCGTATTAATTGTAATATATTGAGATATTCAATTCTATATTTACAATCAAGGAATTTTGTTATATAATAACGGACAACTGATGAATATTCTCGGCATACTTCAGTTAGAACTATAACTCCAGAAAATTGGATGATAAAAGTATTTCTGATTATGGCTACTAAACATAAGATCTCAGTAGATTGTGTGTTAACACAATATCTAGAATATATCTGTTGGTTATGACAGACACTTCTCAATTGAAATGATATATCGATCTCCTCAGAAGATATGTGCCAAATATAAAGGAAAAAAGTCTCCTTCCCATCGCATATAAAATGCTATCCAGTGTGAACTACTGAAGTCAATGGGAAATACTGGTTCAGGCGTTTACTGCAAGGAAATAGAAATATTCAACTCATATTAACTTAACTTTGCAGCGTTTTTCAGACAGAAATCCGAGCAATGACGAAAGCGGCTGATATTATAAAAACACTTACTACCGACTAGATAGTTATGGGACCCATTAGGCACTCAAGTCGTGTACTATTAACTAAATAGCGGTTCGAGACTTCAAGGGTGATCTTCATGATATACGACAGATAGTTAAATTGTGTTCGGTTCCAGGTCATAGTAACATAGAAAGAAGTGCTATCTCACTCCTCCTATGAGCTTGCTCGTTGCCTCCAATCTAACGATTGATATGGAAACAAAAATTGAATGTACTCTTTTCGGGTCCATCGCTAAGTAGCAAACGGCGCGGGCAGCATGTTCATATGTTTTGTCCTGAACTCGAGCTCTTCGGTCTTCAAATCAATACATTATTTTAGTGTCTTAGGAATTTAACTGTAACGTGTATTAAAAAGGTATTATAATTATTTAGACATCGATAGTTGGAACTGCAAGATTTTGATGGGGTCCTCATAATACGGAAATCTGTCACTTCTGCTATATGGCTATGTCAAGACATGGAATGTTATTAATATTAGGTCGGGGAAATTTTTCATTTCATTTTTCATTCATTAGGTCGTCCAAAATGTCGATAAAATGGGAGAAGTTATCGAAGTTGACCGGCATGTTAGCAGTCGTAACATCGCCCAGGAGCTAAAAATCGACCATAAAACTGTTTTAAACCATTTACACTCTGTGCGAAAACGATCTTGGTCAAAGAGCGGTGACGCACTCAATCTGTGGGACTGGAAACGGATTATTTATTATGAGTTGCTCCCATATTGCTAAACGCATAATTCTGATCTCTACTGTCAACAACTGTACCGTTTGAAGATAGCAATTGACCAGAAACGGCCAACATTGGTCAACCAGGACAAGGTTTCGCAGGTTGGTTGAGAAGTTTTAATGCACCAAGCGATTATCATATTTTTCTTGCATTGCAAAATGTCTTTAATGATAAAAAATTGGAATCTAGGAAGGATTTTGAAAATCGACTACTTGAATTTTTGTTTTTTTGCAAATAAGGAACAGGACTTCTATGAGAGAGGCATTATGAAGGTTGGCCCAAATCGGACATTCCGAAGCATGTTTAATAAAGTCCTATACTTCATTTTTGTTATTGGAATATTGCCTTGTAGGGGCAGTGATCATTTGAAAGTAATTTTAAATGAGTTATTTATACTCTTTCGAGTCGATCTTTCATTGCAAAACTTAGATCATTAAGCTCGAAAGAGTATAAATAACAAACTTAAATCTCCTATAGTTCATATACAAATAATGGATTTATTTTCCCCAACCTAATATATTGCAGAAACATTTAATGGATCAAGGTTGGACATGGTTGTATAGAATATATTAAAAAAGTGGACCAAAACATTGTTTTTGCTAAACTTGTGCCTCCTCCATCGGCGAGTCAAAATCCGACACAAGTTTTTCTCTAGGTTGGTGTTATGGGTGTTATATGTTAGTGTTCATTTTCACAATTAAATTAATGTCCATTCTACATTATATCCATATATATAAATGGAAATATGCAAATATTTGTGTTCTTTTATAAAATTCACCTCTTGCACATGCAGTATTTGAAATCTTTTTCACTAACTGATTTGTCCATCAGAATAGATCCATTTCCTTTGAACTATTCCAAATGGATGTCAAAAGGAAATACAACATGTAACTAGTCTGTGTTTATCTCTCTCTTTCTCAATTATATTGTCGTTGTAATCCTTAACTGGTATTTAAATCTAAATCTGTGCTAAAAATTTCCCACTTAAATTAGAGGATCATTGGGAGAAGACGATACCGACGACGACGAGAAGATAATCGATCATTTAAACTTTCATTAGCTGTTTTGCGAAGCGAAGAACTACTCACGAAAGTTAGTGCGGCTACAAAACATAGAGTCCATTTCGATGTTGTTGTTGTTATTTTCCATTGCATCCATTGTCGTTACAGTATCCGCCGAGTAGTGAAGTTAACGTCTGTGGCAATTGTACGCATTCCACCATTAATTTAACATCACTTCAACATAAGTGACTGTCTTGTACGAATGTCATGTGAATGGTAACGCTTGACAGGACAACGACAAAATGATACTCATTGTCAACACAGACATTTACACAAAAGCTAAGGCATTCCACCAACCAACCAACCAACCATCCATACATTCGCACATCGACATCCATCTTCCCATACATTCATACATATCCTATCCATGGTCAGTCAGTCAGTTAGTACAAAAGGATTGAGTACTGCTCGAGTCTGCTGCTCACCCAAAAACGTGATAGAAGAAGCATTGATAACTTGCAGAAGGAATAAACAGCAAAAAAAACATGAATACAATACCTTAAAGAATGGGTGAACAAAAAGACAAAGAAGCAGGAACTCATCACGAAGAATTGTAACAAAAGGAATTGCCCCATAAAGCACCACTCTAGAGAAAACAACAGCAACAAAATACAAGGAGCTTCTTCTTGTTCATTGTCCCTCCAATGGTGAAGAGGATGCAGAAAGAGATCATGGGACCCTTAAATCTTTTCTGTACGAAGAGAAATTAATTTAGCTTTAAGATAGTTTAACAGCGAATTAAACGAGTCATACGTTATTATATTTGACAATTCCGTAGACAGCAAGTTATTTATGTACGTATGTGTAGGTAGGTAGGCAGGCAACAGGGCTCAATGGCGATCAGTAGCTTTGTGAAGGACACCAACAACAACATGAATATGAGTATGAAAAGGACAAATGTTGGACCAGGGACCTGCGTACAAATTCTCGTTTAAGGTTCGATAACAAAATGTTAAGATGATTACCTTTTTGCAGAAACACATAAGCGCGATCATCTGTAATGTCAA